AACCTGCGCCAGGCCGTCATGCTGCCCGAGGGGGAGGACCTCAACGAGTGGATTGCTGTCAACAGTGAGTCCTCTGAGGGGGGAGAACCCCAACACCTCGGGGCTTATCCCTGCACAAGCCTGGGAGTTCCCCAGGCGACTCTGCTGAGGTGGAATAAAAGGAAAGCAAATCTCAGTGGAAAAAAGGAAGAGACAAACCTGCCCTGCCGTGGTTTTGGGGGGGTTTTCACCAGCTCAGACTCTCAGAGGTGGCTGGGGTTTGTGAAGGGTTATTTTTGGTGTTAGAAAGTTCCTGTTGTTGTCTGCAAAAGCTGCACCAAATAATCCAGGGAGGAAGTGGAGTATTTCCACTGAACTCCAGCTTTGGAGAGCTCCTTTCTTGGTTTCTGTTTTCAGAGCCTACAGGTTCAGTTTGCTTTTAGCAGCTGCTCCCCGTGGCCTTGAACTTTGTTTCTTTGGGGTTTAGAGGAGGAAAAAGCAGTTTTGAAGGAGAGCAGGGAGAGTTCAGCCTAAGGGAAGTCTCTCCTGTTTTTTAGATCAGTCAGGGTTTTGGGGAGCCTGGAACCCAAAGCTGTTATTTCCAAGGATAGGGAATGCTAAGTGGAGCTTCGTGCTGTGCAAGTCAGGTGGGAAATGAGCCAGGCAGTGAAAAATTGACAGAGAAATTCCAGTTCCTGGATGGTTGAACTGTTTCAAAGTCCTGAGCCAGGTGACATCACATGGAAGGGGATGTTTGGTTCTTCGAAGGGTTTTTTGGGTGCACAGGGATCCTCAGAGAACATTTTGTGCTCACACTTTGAGTCACCTTGATGCCTTTCCTTCCCAGCTGTGGATTTCTTCAACCAAATCAACATGTTGTACGGGACCATCACAGAATTCTGCACAGAGAGCAGCTGCCCTGTCATGTCTGCAGGGCCCAGGTGAGGGCTCTGCTGGGGGCTGGGGCCACATTTCTCTGGGGGGACCCAGGTGAGTGCACAGATCACTCAGCAGTGTGGAGAAAGAAGCTAAAAAGAGGATGGGATGTGTCCCCATGGGCTCAAGGCCCAGCACTGCTCTCTTTTCGTGGTGTTCACCTGCTTGTGGTCACACCCTCTGGGGTCTCTTTTCCCTGTCCATCAGGCCCTTATGTCTGGAAGCTGAAGAGATTGGAAAAGTTGGTTTTAAAGAAAATGAGAGATCCAACTCAACTGGAAGAGTCTGGTCTTGTTGTCAAAGTTGTAGAGAATCATGGAATGGTTTAGGTTGGAAGGGACCTTAAAGCCCATCCAGTGCCACCCCCTGCCATGGGCAGGGACACCTTCCACTAGCCCAGGTTGCTCCAGCCTGGCCTTGGACATCCCCAGGGCTGTGGTTCTCAGGAGACACTTGCAGCCTCCTGACAAGGTGTTACTGCTGCGTAGGAGAAGGTCAGGGCATTGTGGAAGGTGGAAAGAAGATAGTGAAGGAACATTTTGGGGCCACCTCATTGGTTTTAGGGGTGAATCCTGCAGGGAGAACACCAACTGTTGGCTCTGCACTCATATTTTACCAAGGCAAAGCTCCAGCTGGGAATCTTCTCTGTAAGGTTGCTCAGGGCTCTCAGTTTTTAAGCCCAGCTTTGGGCAGCACTTGCAGGTGCCCTGGAACATCCTGCCTTGCTTTCCTCCCCAGCACTGCCACTTCCTGCCTCTATTTTTGGGGCCATTTCCTGTGACAACAGGAAATGTTTGAAGGGCACTGTTTTCACTTGTAGAGCAAGAGGTGACAGTCGAAACGTGGGGGGGTGTTCCTGCTTTTGAGGGATTTTGTGGAAGATCTCGGAGAAAGTGGGTTGTGTGCTGTCAGTCCATGTCTGCCCTGGCTTGGAGGGGCCCTGGGAGTGATGAGCACATGTGGGGACTGGATCTGAGGCTCCCAGCTCCTGGGATAGTCTGTCACAAAAGTCTTGTGTGAGTGCCAAATTCCTGGAGGGCGTCTGGAAGCTAGAGGGGAATTTATCCAGATGGTGGGTGATGGCCCTGGGCTTCCTTTTGGGCAGTTTTTGGGTTGTTTTAAGGAAATTATGATGTCAGAGGAGGTTGCCGTGAAGTTGAGGCTCATTTTTAACATCCAGAGGGGCAGTGGAGGGGCAGCTCTGATCTCTGCTCTCTGTGAGCAGGGACAGGACCCTGGAACAGCTGGAGCTGTGTCAGGGCAGGCTCAGGTTGGATCTCAGGGAAAGGTTCTTCCCCCACAGGGTGGTTGGCACTGCCCAGGCTCCCCAGGGTTTGGTCACGGCCCCAAGGCTGCCAGAGCTCCAGGGTTGTTCAGACAATGCTCTGAGGGACAGGATGGAATTGTTGGGGTGTCTGTGCAGGGCCAGGAGCTGGACTCTGATCCTGATGGGATCCAACACAGCATATCCTGTGATTTTGGAGGGTGAAGCCCTGGAGTGGTCAATCCCATCATGTTGGGCTTGACAAACTCAAACAGGCCAGGCACTGCTCTTGCTCCCCAGGGTACCAGTGTGGCCCCTTCCTGAGGTAAGGAGGAGGTCACAGGGCCTGAAAATGCCCTTTTCCCTGTGGGAGCACAGACCCTGTCCCCTGCCCCAGGTACGAGTACCACTGGGCCGACGGCACCAACATCAAGAAGCCCATCAAGTGCTCGGCGCCCAAATACATCGACTACCTGATGACGTGGGTGCAGGACCAGCTGGACGACGAGACCCTCTTTCCCTCCAAGATCGGTGAGTGGTGCTGTGTGACACAGGATGGCACCTCCTGAGCAAGCACAGCCTCATCCCTGGGTGTCTGTGCGTTCCAGGTGTCCCCTTTCCCAAGAACTTCATGTCGGTGGCCAAGACGATCCTGAAGCGGCTCTTCCGTGTCTACGCCCACATCTACCACCAGCACTTCGACTCGGTGATCCGGCTGCAGGAGGAGGCCCATCTCAACACCTCCTTCAAGCACTTCATCTTCTTCGTGCAGGTGAGCTGGGAAGGGCTTTCTTGTTCCCCATTAAAGGGAGCTGGATTTTCAGCCCTTCCCTGCAGCTGAGCAGCTGTGGTGTGTGCTGGGAGATAACACCCAGCCCCCCTCTGTACCCAGCTGTGCTGTCTGTGGCTTGGGCTTTTTGTGGGGTTTTTTTCCAGGAAGTGGGGCTGAGTTGGCTGTGAATGCTTGAGTTTCCCTCTCAGGTTTCACTTATCAACCTGCAGCAAGAAACCCAGGCTTAGCACAGAACCTGGGGGAGTTTGCAGCTTAAGAATCGACTCAAAAGTAGCAGCACCAGTGCCTTTTTTTTCCTGTTCTGTGCACAGCAACGTGGCAGAAGTTTTGTTGCCCTGAACACTTGGATTTCTCCACAGAGAACAGGGAGAGGTGGCTGCTCCTCTGCGGTTCTCCCAGGAGCTGCCACACGGTGCCTTCCAGGGTGACCAGCCACGTTCTCCAGCAGCTCTTTGAGAGCTGCCTTTAATTTTTGTCTCTTTTCCCTTGCCAGGAGTTCAACCTGATTGACAGGAGGGAATTGGCTCCTCTGCAGGAACTGATTGAGAAGCTGGGCTCCAAGGACAGATAAAACATTCCTGGGGGGACCCTTCTGGCCTCTCCTTTCTGCTTCTTCTTCAGCCACCTCAGCGCTTGGCTCCAGGAATGCTGGGCACACCAAGTGGCTCCACTCCTGCTGTGCAGCCCCCACTGGGCTCCTCTGCCCCACAGCTGTGGGCTGGGTGAAGGTGGAGCAGGTTTTGGCCCTCACAGGGTGACATTCCAAGTCCTGCACAGCTGCTTCCTGCTCCCAGAGTTTCCCTCTGGGCTCTGCAGCCGCCTGGCCGGGGCTGAGAGTGGCTCAGCTTATTTTTGGAAGTGCTTTTTTTAGGATAAGAGGTGCACTTTGGCCCAGAGCCTTAAAGCTCCCCTTGGCAGCAGCACCGAGGGGGGGAAAGAAGTGCCTGGTCCCAGGGGGGTGTCCCTGTCCCTGGGAGGGAGGAGCAGCCCTGGGGTGTCCCATGGATGGGGGGGGACACGAGGGACCCTCCTGTGTGGCAAGGCAATAATAAAGTTTCTTCCTGCTCTTCTTTCAGAGGAAGAGGGGGGGTCTCCTCCTCTTCTTCCC